ACCCTGGGATCATGACCTGAGCCGAAGGCAGGCGTTTAACCATCTGAGCCACCCAGGCGCCCTTTTTTTTTTTTTCTTAAAAACAATCACAAGAAGATATATAGTAATGTGAAAAAATTATCATGATAAAATGCTGTTTTAATACCTTCATTTCAACTACAACTATGTACATACAATTCTTTCCCCCAAAGGCCAAATATACTTAAATGTTATTAGTGGGGAATGTAATAAAATTATATAATATTTTCTATTTTGGTTCAGATAAAACTCTGTAACACGATTATATTGACATTACCATTTTATAAAAAGAAACTTTAAAAATTATGGGAAGCCTGGCTGACTCAGCTGGTGGAGCATATATGACTCTTGATCTTGGGGTTGTAAGTTCGAGCCTTACACTGGGTTTAGAGATTACTTAAAAATAAAACCTAAAAAAAAAAAAAAATTAAAAAAAAAAAGGTATTTCTTAAATCAGATTCATTCATGTATCCCAAAAGTTCAGGAGTGGAAGAGAAATGAGCAATCCTCTAACCAATTTCCCTTAATGTCCAATGTCCTCTGAAAACATTAAAAACAAAACAAAACAAAAAACTATTCCCAACTATTCATGCCACTCCCACTGTTCATATTCCTCCCATTTATTTATAACTCTGAAGAGCTGAGCAATAAATTGTTTACAACTACAGATCTGTTTTGTTTAGAGAACTGCCACAGGGAATTCCAAATCAAAGCAACAACTGTACTTTATACTGAACACTATCAAAATTAAATACTAAAACATCAATCAGAGCTTGAATTTATATAACCACAACTTTCCAATGGGTTTCAAATGTCTTATAGAAATTGTTCCATTAATCTTAAACACATATTTATTTTGTTCAAGAAATCTTCCCTAGAAGGTGATAAGAGATTCTTTGTAATTCATTATGCTTTCCTCGAAGTTATAATCCATCCCAGTCATGGAATCATGCATTCTTGTTAAGAATATATTCAACACAGTTTGTGCCACATATTAACTATTAAATGATCCTTTACAAGTTCCTGAACTTGCGTATTCATCCCCCGGATCTAAATGACAGTAATCATAACATCCTTCAAGGTACCACAAGTAGCAAAATATAAAACATTATGTAAACAGCAGCAATCATTCTTCTAGGGATTAGGGAAACCGTTAGAAAAATAATTTAGCTTTATCAGTAGAAACCGGTTTCTGTGTTTTCTGAATACTTTGAGGGCAAGAGCCATACTACTGTATTTCAATTTGATACCTGCTATGGTGCTTTTACTTGGTGTGTTGCACTATGATTATGAAACTGAGGGACAGAGTTATACAATTACTTAACATCACAATGCTAGTAAATAAAATAATTTCTAAAAATTTTTTTAAAAAGAATCAGAACTTGGTATTTAGTTATGATTTAGTGAAGTGGCCACCAATGAAACAAACATTTTCTGAATTATTTAGTTATTGTCTAAATAAACAAGTTATTTTCTAATATTCTAGACAGCAGATAAAGTAACATACATATTGGAATGAATAGCAACTGCTCTCTCACCATCTACCCAGCACAGTTTATCTTTAAGTAAAATAAATTTACCTTTTAATTGAATTTTAAACCCAAACCAATATTATAATTTCAACACATCAGATACATAAGGCAAATTTTCTTTAAACATTTACAAGTCAACTGGAAAAGACCAAAAATTCAATTAAATAAAAATGGCAAAGAATATGAATGACCTACCAAAAAGGAACTACAAATAGCTCAAGCACATGAGAAGCGAAACGATATCATTACTCTGTTAGTTTAACATTTTGGGCACTTCATATGAACTAGATACTGTGCTTTACAGATAGTAACTCACTGAATTTTCAGTTTGCAGAGGCAGGTATCATCAGGAGATACACAGGCTTAGAGAAGTCACACCTCATAAATTATTCAGCTGGGACCTGACCCTCATCCACCTGGTTCCGGAGCCTATACAAAGGAGCACTGGGCTATCCTGCCTCTTCACCTCATCCAAATACAGTGAATTCAAACTGTGAATGAGATACCATGGTATCCACTGTGCAGAACAGTAACAACATACACCGCTCCTGAAAGGATCCACAGGAAACTGGCTACCCCTGGGAAAGGCCACTAGGCAGCAAGGGAAAACAGGTGAGAAGACATATTTTTCAACTCCTTATAATCTTCTGAAATAAAAATAACAATAGTATGCAGCTCTATATTTATAGCTCTTTAGACATGTGGGATACTTCCACATAAATTAATATTTTTGTTTCCTCAACCACCTTGTGAGGCAAAGTGAGTGAATATATCCTTAGTCAATGTCACCACACTCACCACTGTGAAGGCAGATGTGATAAGTATCCTTCTTTAAAAAAAAAAAAAAAAAGGGCGCCTGGGTGGCTCAGTTGGTTAAGCGACTGCCTTCGGCTCAGGTCAAGATCCTGGAGTCCCTGGATCGAGTCCCGCATCGGGCTCCCTGCTCGGCAGGGAGCCTGCTTCTCCCTCTGACCCTCCCCCCTCTCATGTGCTCTCTCTCTCTCATTCTCTCTGTCTCAAATAAATAAATAAAATCTTTAAAAAAAAAAAAAAAGATAAAATATTAACCATAGTTCTTTAAGTACTGAAAACTTGCTGCAAAATGAAAATACTCCAATAATAAATTTTTTTTCAAATTCTTACCAGAATTCATAAGTTTCCAAAGTTGATCTACCAAGGCTTCATTGCATAACGGAGACTCCATGTTCTTAGTAAATGGTGGGTTCTTTGTCAACATGTTTAGAATCTTATGTCTGAAAGATAAAGAAAAAACTTCCGCTGACCATGAAGTAAAAACATTTGAAAATTATCTATAGTATCTCCTTCCTATTTTATCATCTCTTCTTAGATTTATTTTTGTGTTTAAGTTTAACTTCAAAAGACATTATTTTACACATCCTAAAATTTACTATTGTTTTTTCACTAGAAAGGTTCTGGTGGGTTTGTTCTTTTCTAAAATTACCTTAGTGTATAAGGAGGTCCTTTAAACCCTGACTTCATGTATTCCTAACCAACCTTTCTCATTCCATTTCTAAAATGAACATTTATTCTCCTTAGAAAAATTTTTAAAGAAAGACTGGTCAGTAAATACAAAAATCTTAAAATGGGGCAAAAAAAAAAATTACATATGGATGAAGAACAAGTCTACCCTGAGATAATAAAATGAATATAAACTTCATTATTATAGTATCTTTGTAAAGCATGGAAATGTGCAGAAGCTTTTAAAATACGGAGACCAAAAAAAAAGGTTTCCTCAAAATGAGCTGAAGTTTAGAGGAGTTAATTAGTCAAAGTATCCTCGTGTTGAGTAACAGTTAAAGTCCGCTACTGGGAGTTATCCCCTGTGAGAGGCCAGCTGAACACTTCTGGAGTCTTCTAAAAATAGGGCAGTGTGACCAAAACAAAATCTGAAAACGAAAATGTCCAACGCTATGAGTAGGAAATGCCAAGAGAAAGAGGATAGAAAAAGAAAAGCAAAAGCAAGGAAGCTATGGCAGTAGCCTAACATTGAGTGCAGGGATAAGAGCCAGGCCCAGGCCTAAGAGATTCAAGACCACACAGTAATGGAATGCTTGGATACAACTGGAGAAGAAACTTAGGTTGTAATTACAAATGAGATTAGCAAAACCTGAAAGGTGAACCCAAGGCAGTTTTTATATTTAATTGTTGGTGGTAAGGCATCAGACTGGATTTATACTTGAAAAAGACATGGGAAGAAAGTGGAACTACTAGGTTGCAGATTAAGATACTTAACCCCTTTTGGCTTCAATTTTATGTCTGTAAAACTGAAAGATGTGCTCTCACTTTAATATCCTCTTGTGCTTTGATATTTTAAGACTGTATAAAAGACTACTGAAAAGCTATGAGAACAAAAAGTGAAATGGAGTTACAGATGCAATTTACACATAGGGATTATGAAAGGGGATACGTATCTTCATGGATATTTCATATGCATATTTTCGTAACTTTATAAATAAACACAATTCCTGTCCTTAAGGACCTCAAAATCTATCTGTAAGAATAGATCATTATTACAGGTAAACAATCTTTAAAAATATGGACAAGTTTGTTCTTTAGAGCAGGTTAATGTTGTTATACTTTGTCTGCATTAATTAGAAAACTTAAGTTTCTATTCGGCTGCTTTCCCAGTTACCCCAAATACCAAAGTGGTAGGTGTGCCAATGAACTGTAAAGAGTGAAACTGAGGATATCTTTGAAATGATCACTGAAAGAGCAATAGTGATCAGTACATGTATTACTACTATCAAATTAAACATTGCTTCAAAAGTTTTGTTTTTCTCTAAAGTTTAGATGATAGAAGAAAGGATTTTACAAAGAAATACTTATAAATGACTAAACACCCAAAGTGATACTCGGAGGAGATGAAGTTTAAGGGAAAACAATGAGAATCTCATGCTTAATTTTACAAAGATTAAACATAAAAATGCAGAATAAGCATATGCTTCAGACAACTGGAAAAGACCTAAAGCAAATCCTGAGAAAGTCACAGGTTTATAGGTTTGCTGCTGCATCACATTATTTCCCTAAACAGTTGAGAATTTTCTTAGTGGGCAAGTCCAATCTATTGTCCATCACTTATCAATAAGAAACTCAAATCAAAACCAAAAACATGCTCAAAATCTGTCATGAGAAAAAGCACAGGATGTATGTGTGTCTCTTGAGGGACGGATACACTGTGATCATATGTATGCTTCATTCCAAAACCAAAATATAATTCCATGTCATCTTTAAAACAACCCTATCCATTTTATTTTATTTATTTTTTTAAGATTTTATTTATTTATCTGACAGAGAGAGACACAGCGAGAGAGGAACATAAGCAGGGGGAGTGGGAGAGGGAGAAGCAGGCTTCCCGCTGAGCAGAGAGCCCAATGTGGGGCTCGATCCCAGGACCCTGGGATCATGACCCAAGCCGAAGGCAGACGCTTAACGACTGAGCCACCCAGGCGCCCCTAAAACAATCCTATCCATTTTAAAGAATATAATTAATAGTTCTTCCTATCAATATAAAAAGTATAGTCAGGGGTAGAAATGACTGGAAAGCAATAATCCAAAATGTTAAGTGTTTCTGGTTAAAATAATTATAGGCTATTTAAGTTTTCTTCTTAATGTAATTTTGCATTTTTCCAAATTTATATGAGTATTTTAAAATGTCATGCCCAGTGATGAATCACTAAATTCTACCCCTGAAACCAATACTACACTATATGTTAACTAACTTGAATTTAAATAAAATCTTGAAAAAAAGGAAAAGAAAAAAGTTATGCCAACTGAAAGGAAACTATAATTTTCAAAAATTTAAATTTCATTTTAGTTCAAAAATAAAACACCTAGATTTAATTATTTATTTAAAAACTATGCACCTAGATTTTTTTCCTTTTTTTAAAATTCATTTATTTGAGAGAGAGAGAGAGAAACAGAATGAGAGGGGAGAGGGTCAGAGGGAGAAGCAGGCTCCCCGTTGAGCCGGAGCCCGATATGGGACGCTGGGATCATGACCTGAGCCAAAGGCAGTCACTTAACCAATGGAGTCACCCAGCGCCCCATCCTTTTTTTAGATTATTTATCTTAACAGACATGTAAAATGAACAGCAAACTTGATGAAAAAAAGCGTTAATAATCGGTCAGGTGATTATACAGGTTAATTAAAGTGCATTTATTTAGTTTAAATTCTCAAGATACCTTAATGAAGAACCAATCTATAATCTGAAAATCTTCTATTGAGAGAAAACTACACAAATAAAGTGGACAACCCTATTACTATATTTAAAACATCAAGCCAACATGAAAGACTGAGAACTTCCCCAACATTTCAAAATAAACACCTTAAAGCTTTTTTCTGTATACAGTTGTCAACAGAGATAAAATCATTTCTCTTTAACATATGAAAGAAGTTAAACATACATATGATTAGAAAAAAAGCCATACATATGATTAGAGGAAAAAGGAAAAAACTGCATCCTATCACTCATTTCACATGTATTGAACCAACTATATATAAGGCACTATGCTATATTCCAGACATTGACAAAAAGGAAACATGGTCCCTATCTTTTTGGAACTTATATTCCCACGGGGGAGACGAAGATAATCAAATAGTTCCAGCTATAAAATTAATACTTATATATAGGAGGTATTTCTTTACTTAAGTATAGGAAGAACTGTAGGATTTTTATGGGCAATTATGACTTCAGGGACATGATCCAGTATAGGGAATCAAGGAAGCATCCTTGCAGAAACAATTTTCAAGTTTAGCTCTAAAGCATCAAGGAATAATTACAGGTAATTTGGGTTTTTTTTCCTCCAGACTTTAAGGTTTCACCCTAAAATTCTTCAGAGCTTTATCTAACTCTACCATAATCAGTAATTCTGATACATATAATAATAAACACAGAAAGAGAAAAGAGAGAAAGAAAAAGAAAATCCACATATATTTTTAAATTTTAAGTCTTATTGGGGCACCTGGGTGGCTCAGTTGGTTGAGTGTCCAACTCTTGATTTCAGCTCAGGTCATGATCTCATGGGTCGTGACATCGAGCCCTGCATCAGTCGTCAGTCTCCACACTCAGCAGGGAGTCTGCTTGGTGATTCTCTCCCTCTGCCCCTCCCCTTCACTCTCTCTCTCTGTGTCTCTCTCTCACAAATAAATAAATAAGTCTTTAAAAAAAAATTTAGTTCTTATTGAAGACCATTTCATCATTAGGAGTTTAAAGATCAACCAAGGGCCATAAAAATAAAATGCTTGTGTCTGGGGTAGGAGAGAGTAATGCCACTGATTTTAAGACATATACCAATGTTTACGCATCTTAAAGACTACGAATTCTATCCAATCAATAAAGTGGAATATGGCAGATCTGTATTGTAGTTACTTAATGAGTTTAAGAAAAAGTAACAGAACAGATTGGTGGTTGCAGGGAAAAGGGGGGCAAAATGAATGAAGCAGGTCAAAGAGTACAAAACTATAATTATAAGTCATAGGGATGTGATGTACAACATGGTGACAATAGTTAATAATACTGTGCTGCATTTTTGATAGTTATTAAGAGATTAGATCTTAAAAGTTCTCATCACAAGAAAAAAAGTGTATAACTATGTATGGAGAGCATGTTAACTGAACTTACTGTGGTGACATTTTCTCAATATATGCTAATATTGAATCATTGTGTTGTATACCTAAAACTAACATGATGTTGTATGTCAATTATACCTAAAAGGAAGAAAGAAAAGAAAAAGGGAGAAAGAGTAATGATGGGAACAAAGAGAAAAGGACAGAGCTCCTATTCAAGCAAAGAAGAAACACAAAAATATGGACAGATGTGCCAAGATACTAAGAAATATGCACGTACATACATTAACTGTTATGTGGTAACACTTCTTGACAATTAACATTAAAGATTTTTAAAGACATGCTGAATTTTTTAACTATGAACAGACCTATGGGCTGGATGATATTAAGTACAGACTAAGAGGTTCCCTACTGATGATATAAATGAATCACATCAATTAAGAAGAAAAGTGTCGGGTGGGAGGGATGGGGTGACTGGGTGATAGACACTGGGGAGGGTATGTGCTCTGGTAAGTGCTGTGAATTGTGCAAGACTGT